GAACACCATTTCCTTGAGGCGAAGAGGGACGCTGCTTCCCACACCCTCTCCCATCTCCCCGGGGCGGGAAGCCCCTCGGTGCAGCCCCCTCTGAGGAGGGTCCGCACGGAGCGGGGCGCGGTGCTTCCCCGGCGGGGGGATGGATGGAGGGACCCCCAAAGGGCGGAGCGGGGCGCGGCGCTTCCCCGGCAGGGGGGATGGATAGAAGGACCCCTGAAGGGCACAGGCACCCCGAAGGTCGCGGAGAACCCCCCACTCCCGAGGCGGGGTTCGCCCCGCCACCGCCCCCGAGCCCTCAGCGCTCACCTGCGGGGTCGCCATTGCCGCCATTGCTCCTCCCGGACCGCCCGGACCGGCACTTTTCAAACTCGGCGGTCCCGGGGCCGCCGCCAGCGCCCTCTCGCGGGGCGGGCCCGGGGGAGCCGCCGGCGGGCGGCCCTGGGGAGCGGGAACGGGAGCCCGGGAGCGGGACCCGCCCTTGCCCACACGGCCCCGGGGCAGCCGCCGCTCCCGCCCCCGGCTGAGGTGGTGCCGCCGCCTCCGCCCGCCCTCAGGGGAAACGCGCGGCCGAGGGCCCGTGTGGCGGCGGGAAGGAGCGAGGACGCTGCGGGGAATGAGGTACCGGACACCGCCCCGAGGGGAAGGAGGGGCTGGAGAGGGGCTGGAGGGGTCAGCGACCGCGGTGGCACCGAGACCTTGGGTCCGTGCCAAAGGGAGGCGACGGGGATGCGCAGGGACACATCCCCCGCTCGGCCCCTCTGGGAGAAACCCCTGCGGGTGCCCCTCTTTGTGCTGCGGCCAGCGGGTGGTTTCCAGTTTTAGTTCTCCAAACTGACTCGCGACCGGCGTTTGTTCGCATGGGAACGAGCAAACTGCGGCTCCCCTCGGGACAGGATCCCTGGATCCCGTCCCTGGGGAGATCCCTGCCGCGGTGCTGGGCTGTGGGGAACTTTTTCCCTGCAGAACTGCCCCTCTAAGTGCAGGATTTGGGGGTTCAGCCGAATATTTGAGTGAATAAATAACCTAAATGCGTTGGGTAGGCAGCAATCTCCCAGCTCTCGTGAGTGAAAAACTACTGATGCTGCTGTACTGCCATCCCATCACACAGAACCGACTCGGTGCTTAAAACAAATTAAGAAGATACTACTTTCAGGTGTTAAAGACCCTCCTCAGCAGTATTACATAATGTTATTACCACACTAATATGCTCTTCAGTCCTGGATTGTGCACAGCTGTGAGTCAGAAGGCATCTGGAGGTGACAGTGTTCCCACGTACAAATTTAGAAATGTACTAATAAACAGAAATGTTTTCCTTTTACTTAATTACAACAGTTTTTCTAGCCTAAGCATTTTGTGAGAGATTTACAACTGAATAATTAATAAAAGGAAATCACACGAAAATAAAAATTTAATGTAAAATTCAGGTCCAGATTAACTGAGTTGAATTAATAAAGCCTTAACTTCTATTAAACCTTTGAATATGCTCCTGTTGTTAATAAAGCAAGTGCATTTGTTTAATATAAAGCCTTCTGCAACCTGTTACTATTTGTAACACGGTCCAGGCTCTGGTCAGTGTTTAAGGAATTATTTTAATTAGACTGTTCATTCAGTGGAAATAGTGGAAGTCAGACTAGTACGTGTAGATGGGGTTTCAGAGGAGCAGGGACACTTCCACACCTTCAAAGAGCCAGTCTGTCCCAACAGTCGGATCACTGGAGAGGTCTGGGGGGCAGTGGCTGCAGGGGCCCTTTGCCCACTCGGGGTTCACACAGGGGCTTCCCCCTCTTTCCTCCTGGTCTCAGACCCTCCAGGGAGGCAGAGTGAGGGCAGGGGGGCAGTTCAGGGAGCTGGAGCTCCGAGGACCCTCTGGCTGAATGAGCTCCCCAGCCCCGAGGGACAGGGCTGGCTCTCTCCAGGGTGACCCCGGAGGCCAGTGGGCCATGTCCCTAGTTCCCCCTTATCCCAGCCCATCGCCAGGGCGTGGGATCAGCAGTTCCTGCCCACTCTGCAACCCCTGTGCCACGGGAAGATGAGTCACAGCTGGGATTTGTGCCTATCCAGCCCTTCCAGGACCCCTCAGGGCACCAGCCCCTGGTGCTGGGGATGCTCCCGGGGCAGGTTGTGCTGGGGAGCTGGGAAAGGGCAGCGTGGGACCGGCCCGGGGGAAGGGGGGTCGCGGTTTCCATCCCGGGATGGAGCTGTGCAGCTTCTGTGGGAGCTCTCAGAGCAAGGCTGGTGGTTAAGGGGTGCCCCAACACTGAACCGGCAGCCCCTGTTCTCCACTAAACCCGAGACAGAGCACTGCACTGGAGCACAGTCACTGGGAGAAGGTGATGATCAAGGAAAAATGCCTTAGAAGTTTCCATTTTTAATCCAGGAGAGGGAGGACAAGAGATTAAGCATAAGTCTGTTCCCCAGAGCAAGTGGCTGGTACTAGAGGCACTTGTGACCTCCCCTCTCTCCTCCCCGAAGGAGAACCACCTCATGGCCACTGTCCACCTCACCCGTGGAAGATGATGCTGAGTACGGGACTAATAACTGATTCTTTTGAAAAAGACTCTTAGAAATGGTAACTTCAAGTAACAGTTAAATGTACTTTAATTCCTTCAAACAGAAGGAGAGCTTGAAGGTACAGCAGAGAAATTATTTCACTGATTTCAGTCTCTTAAAAAAAAAAAAAAGCATGGCTTCAAACTTCAGGAACAGTATCCAATAAACAAAGTACTATACCTATGCACCTGGTTTAGTGTGCTACAAAGAGCTTACAGATTCAAATGTCATAAATGACTGAGAAAGTGATTCAGATAATGCCTGTTTACAGGGACAGAAAACTATGTTGACAAGTATGAATAAGTACACAGATCATCCGATCAAACTCAAACCTTTCTAACTATATTTACACACACAGAGATGTATTTGTTTCCTTTGGCACTAGAAATTACAGACAAAAGATTCCATTTTATAGCAATTAAAACTTCAACCTTAAAAATAACCTTTGAGCCAGTTAAGTCATAAAGCCCCAGCACAGTAGCTTCACTGTTATTAAATTGCTGCCAACTCTTATGTTCTAACCCTGGAAATTCAGACCACAAAGCCTGAAGTCAGTGTCCACCTATGACAAATTTCACTTGGCAGAACTGGATGTGAGGAGCTCAAGTGGGGGGAATTAATGATAGACAGATATTTAATAAAAATGAATCTCCCATTATTTTCATCCAAGGTGGATGTCTACTTTTAAAAGCTCTTTACATGCATATAAAATAAATCAAGAAAAGGACACCCATTACATATATTCAGCCAAATTAGACATGAATGCTCAGAGCAAATGATGGCCAGCTGTAGTATTTCTTCAGCATTGCAGAGAAATCTGTTAATCCCTACTCATTTCCATTGCTAAAAAAAAGTAATTAAGATAATGCTTAACTAATATGGTTTATTCTTTTACCATCTTAGTTTACTCTTGAGCCATTGCCAGGAGTAAACCCTTAAGTTTCACAGGAAATTCAGTATTATCAGTACAGTAGCAAGAGTATTTTGGCACCCTGTAAAATCCTAAAGAACGTGCAAGAAAATTTTTGTAAGTAGCATTTAATTATCCAGACTTCTCATTCCTTTTTCCTGGTACTTGACTTTACAGAGCCTGAAGCCTTGATTACTTTCAGAACAGTTTTTAAAGGTTTTCTGCTAGTGGAACAACAACAGCACAATGTTTTTCCTAAAGCATTCAAGACTAGCAAAAGATTGTTTTCCTTGAGAAACTACATAAAAACTAAGTAATGAGGCATCATGGCAAGTAACAGCACATCGACCCTTTACCACAGTAGGAAGCAAGTTTCAATGTTACAACAAAAAGGAATTAAATGGAAAAGATCTAAAATTTATAGGACTTCATAGGTTTTGTTCCTTCTCTCTCTCTAGTGGTAAGAAACCATTACTGGTCAACACTGTACTTAGCTCTGCAAGCAGGATCAGGGCAGAAGCTTTTGTTGAGATGGAATAAAGTACATGGTTGTCTTATTTCTGCATCGATCACATGAGACTGGACGTTGCATTGTCTCTGACAACTGGATGGAATCCAAGCTGGACCACACACTCACAGAATGTTTTCCCTCACACATTATTTGTGCACGTCTCCACCAGGGATCGATCGTGTCCTGCCAAGTGTATTTTTAAGCATCAAAACCAGGCTGAATTTGGCTGCAGCAAATTCTGTGAGGAAAAGGGATCAGAGCATATAACAGCAAGTCTTCCCAGAAGACAAGTCTTTTCTACACATCCAAAGAGCTGTTTGAATTTCAGATTAGCTGATACAACATTTTTTTTTTTTTAAATATTTTAAAAGCACAGCACGTTAAAACAACTTCCATTACACTTTGTGGAATACCAGTACCAACAACCTCTATGTGAAATTGTTACAGGCTTCTCAAATGCAGTCTCCTAAAATGAGAGTGTATCTAAAGCACATGTACATTCTGCTACCAAGGAAAGAAAGCAGGGAAGTAGCAACTTTTTCTTCATGAGCTTCACCGACAATCTTGCTCTTTGAAATAGCCCAAATTAGCTTGCATTTAAGATTTATTTTCAACTGAAAAGACTTAAAAAACCACCCAAATGTTATTTTAAGACCCCTTGGTCTCTTTGTTCTAAGCTTGCATGGTATTTTCGTGCAAACTGATGTACTGGAGATAGAACACTGCAAGTTACTGCTCAAGAATTCTGAGAAGTTATTTTTTTTCTTTTAGTAAATCAGGAATAAAAACCTGTGTCTTCACACATGGTCCTACAAGAGTCAGTGTGCAGTAGGAACTACCAAAGGAAACACTTTCCAGGTTCCGAAATAGTAGAAACTAATTTAACTGATTATCAGTCCACACAACCACAAGGCTGCATTGCACTACAGAAATAATGCCCAAATGCCTCCAAAAATGCCTAGAAACTACAAGCAAGTTCTAAACAGGGTTATTAAAACCGGTTTCTTTAAGTGAAGACCAACCAGCCCCTTTGTGTACACATTTAGTTTTATTGTAACAAAGCAACTTGTACACTTTAACGTTTAAAACTGAGCATCTTTCTTTCCTTTCCAGTGAAACAAAAAAAAAAAAAAAAAAAAAAAAGAATTTAAAAATAAACAAGAACAAAATTACAATAGAGAATGTCAATTCCAAATAAGATCCTACAGGTTCTGCTGATTCTCCATCAAGTGGCAGGGCTCAAAGTCATCATTAGGAGAAGATTTTATTTTAAAAGTGTCATCTTAAACTGCAAGGATGTTTGTTAAACATCACAATTAAACATGCCAAAGGAGAAGAAGCCATGTTGTCAAAATGCCCACTTAACCCACCCAAACATCTGAAACCCACCCCGGCTGACCTTCTATAACCCCATTTTTATTTTTATTTTTATTTTTTTTTTAGGTTTTTTCTTTTTTTTAAACAAGAGAAAGTAGACAGATACATGTTGGTAAATGCTAACTGTCCATATTCACATAGAGACACAGTGTAATCTCTGAGCCCAATATACAGAGAAAGAAGGAAAAAAGCTAGATTCTATGCACTACTACACAGGGGCCTAGCACTCTTCAGCTTCCAGCAGAGTGAAGGGAGCAGAAGGTTTTCTTTTTTCCCACAGAACATGGTGTGTTGATTCCATAAACAGTTTTTTGTTTTGAGACAGAAAGGGATAAAAATGAACTTGAAACAGAAACTGGTAGATTCTTTTCCACTGTGTTCTGCTCAAGGTATTTCCCCCAAAATAAATCGTGAACCATGGTGTAGAGGAGATAAAAAGAGACCTCAAGAGAACAAGGCGACTGAGCACAAGAAATAAAAGACAGCAACTTGCTCCCAGGGACTGGAGAAAAATTAAAAAGGTAAAAAGGGGGTTTGGAATCCATCAGTGTTCAATTAGTCATCTTCTCCTTCATCCTCCTGTTGAAAGATAAGCAACAATTAAAACAATCTAAATCACTAAACTTCAGGTAGCAAATGTAGTGAGCAGTCAGAGTTGTACCACCCTACAGGCTACAGAGTTACTCAGTGTGTGCTGTAGGATCATCTCATTCCCCTCTTCACTAAGGAGTGGGAACACTTGCCCTGAGTGCCCAGAAGTCCCTCAATACCTGGATGTCCCAATGAAAACACAGAGGTTTGAGAAAAAACGTGACTTAGAATCACTACAAGCATTGAGATGAGTTTCACATTTGGAAAGTGAAGGAGTCATCTTTTTTCCCCTCATTTTAAACTGTGAAATGCTTCAACATTCACATGCCAAATTCAAGGTTACAAAATAAAGCCCAGAGCAGATCTCCTCTCAGCACAAGCAGTTTTTGCTGCTTGGACACCCCACACCCAGTTATGAGAAACAAAAATGTTTTAAGTTCCCAACACCCTGGATGCTGGTCCTGGAATTCCACTTGCTACTTAAGGAATTTTTTAATTCCTGAACCCAACAGAGAGTCTCAGCTAAGCTGGCCACAAGCAGAAATAAACCAACAAGTGGGAGGATGATTAGATGCATCAACAAAAGCTATTTACGTGTAAAATATTGCTAGAACATTCACTGATTAATTAAGAATTTTGTTACATCCTCGTTCTTCTGGAGCACCTCCCTTAGAAATTTACTATAACTGCATATTTACACAGTGTTTCTCATATACACAAACATACTTATTACTACACTGAAACCACTCCACAAGCAGTGGCAGTTCTGTTTCTCCCCTCCAAACACCCTGAAGCACAGAAAAGAGCTATTTCACCTTGCTAACAACAGCCTGGTATTCTTACAAGATCCCTCCTACACCAGAGATGGATGGCACGAAGGGCAAGATTACTCACCTCTCCTTCCTCTCCCTCATCATCATCTTCATCTTCCTCCCCCTCATCTTCATCTCCTTCTTCATCAATATCCTCTAATCCTTCCTCCTCTTCATCATCATCGTCATCCTCCTCTCCCTCCCCTTCTTCATCGTCCATGTCAGGAACCTTAAAGACACATTTGCAACATCAGCTACAGTGATCAAACTCCCTCTTGCTCTCCCAGAGCTGCTGTGGGCCCCATTTCCCTGCTCAGGGCTGGACCTACCAAGTAGTACTGTAATGGATTTGGCCAGATGTCATCCTTGATGACTTCCCCTAGTTCGTCAGCCCCTGCATCAGAGTGGTCAGTGAACCAGGTGAAGAAGCTTTCTGGCTCTTCATGCTGCCTCTTCCTACTGGCTTTGTTCTGTGTCTGGCTTGAACGTTTTGTCAGGTCCTGAAAAGCAAGTTAAGAAGTTGACTGAAGTTGTCTTGTTTTTTCATTTTTAGAAGCCTGAACTTGTCTAAACACACGCAATAAGTCACCTTCTCCTCCTCATTCAGGATAAGTCTTTAAGAAACATTTAGAACCCAAACAACTCCCAGAAAATAGTGCATTTCTCATGAACATGAGAGAACAGTAAACCTGCCTGTTTCTTTCAATGACTTCCACAGAAACACTGAAAATTCACAGAATCTCTCATCTGATTGATGTTTCCCTACCCCAAAGAAGCAAAAGTACAACAAGTATTTAATGATACACTGAATTTAAAAGGTCTCACAACAGCTAAATGCTACTCAGAGTAGCAACTGGATGCTACCACTACTAAATGCACCCAATTTAAGAAACAGGCTCCACACCTCTAAGTTCTGTATTTAACTTGAGATAAAGACCTGTCTGGGCCTTCTTAGCCTAAGGTTTCCTGCTTTGAAGTCTTCAGGCCATTCTTTGTAGTAAGTGGAGAAAAAAAAAACCCACACAAACCACTCAAACACACGGTCACAAGAACATAGGTGAGTTCTCTAAGTGTAAGTTTGCAACAATCTTTTTGCCAAGTCTGAAAATTACTATCCACTATTTAAAAAAAAATAAATAAAAATTGTGATCATACAGTAACTCCAAACTTTTAGTATTTGTTTTCTTGATAGAATCACATTTGTAGGTTTGAACTGTTTAATGAAGAACAATACCAGAATTCACACTGACTTTGTGGTGTGTTGTAAGGATCACTCGACTAGTTTGTACAGGACTCTAAGTTCTTATAGAAAAGTTCTAGTTCTCAATGAAAAAAGATTAAGTTTTCTCCTTGGTCTGAGGGTGACAAAGCAATAGCAACTTAACTGCGACCCTCAGTTCTACTTTTAAATAGTCAGTTCAAAATCTTCAGGGTAACATGAAAGTGCTTCCAACTTTTACAGAAATGAACTGCAGCAAATAAATTATGTTTGAATGCTGCCTGGATTACAGGTATATCCACATTATTGTGTGGCTGCAACTTCTACAAAGATGTGGTGTCTGGAAATGAAGTTGAGGAAATAAAAATAAAATCAAATCACGCCCCATTATCTGATCCCCAAACATCTGTCCTCAGAATTCCTTATTTAATTGTTATTTTAAGAAAACAACAGCAGTCTAGATGCTGACCAAGGAAGAGACAAACTACTGCACTTGGTAATGTCTCCACCTGGTCACACTTGTGCTTTCACTGTTTTAATGGTGGTGCTCAACTGAGCAAGAGAATCCACTATGGATCTCCATGGAAATGGGATATTCCAAACCCTGCAAGATAGCCAAGAGCTATGTGTGTAGAAAACTGCCTAGGGGAGTGAGAGGGGAAGAAAGAGCAGCTTCAATGCAAAGGAAAAAAGCAAAAGGAAGGTAATTTAAGTGATGGCATCACACAGCAGCAATCAGCTCTCCCAGATGCTCTACATACCTTCCCAGATTTCCATTTGATCTCAGTTGATTTTGAAGAAGGGTCTCCACTTTCATTGAGGTGAAACTCTTTGGAGAGAACTTTATTTTCAAAGTAGGGATTCTCATCAAAATACTGCAGAGTGGAAAGCAAGGAGTCAGAACTCACAGAATGGCAACACACAGACCAGGTCAAAGCTGGCACTAAATGAGTAACTTAAGAGATTAAGTTACAAACTAGAGCCCAACATGCAATTACATCAAAAAACCCCAGTAAAATCACAAGTGAAGGAATCACTTAAAGTACTTACAAAATCTATTCTGTAACCTGATTTGATGTCTTCAAATTCTGTCACCTCAACTCTGGTCAAGTAATGCAGTGCTTCCTCATCTTCTTCTCCCAGCAGTGCAGATACTGAGACAGAACAAGGAATTCCCACATTAACAAAGCCATGGAATGTACATCATGCAGGCAAAATACAGGAAGCTGACAGTAAGATCAATCTTAAAAGCAACACATCTGTCCAAACCAGCTCCTTTAATTCCAGTTAGCAGCCAAGAGACTATTTGCATTTGCTGAGGTGAAAACATTATATATTTGCTTGTTGCAGTTTAGTGTTAAAAGAGCAGCAAACACCATGTACATCCATGTACCCTTCTCTGACACAGATTTTTATGCCTGTTGTTTGCCCACTCTAAGCAGTCTACAAACTTGTTTTGCAGAAAGTTTATTGTGAAGAGTCCCAAGGAGCTCACTTCCAATTCAAAACACCCAAATAAACTAAAATCCTATTTTTTCTTTTCACTTTAAGGGCCCAATACACTGAATAAAGTGGGAAAGTCGCCATTTAAAATGCAGGCATTTTAAGATTGAAGTATGTTAGTAAACAAGATGTTCTTTTGTCAACAAGTGCTAGAAATAAAAATCTTATAAAATGCAACCTAGGACAGAAAGGAAGTTTTTGGTATGACCAGTGACAACTGTACGAGACCCTCAGAGCTGCAAGACACCCATGTAACAAGCAAGCCAATATTGAACTTACAGGGAAATAAGGAGGGCTATTAAGAATATACCTTGTGGGTGGTTGACAAATGTTGTTACCCAGAAATTCGGGATTTTGGCGATCAACTCTGACCTCTTCTGGAAGAATGGTTGGCGGAGTTTGTTGTATTTCTGTTCTACTTTCAAGATTTCCTCACTGGCTTGTTCATTCAGTCTGTAACAGAAGGAGCCATGTTAACCACAGGCAGAGAACTGGGAGTTAAGGACACACCATAAGTAGTTAACTAAGAGCTGAATGGGTTTGATGAGTCTGGCATCTTTAACTAATGAAGTATCCCAAAAAACCCGAGGCCCAGAGCTGTAACAACTGTTGAACACCCTGCCAGAAGAATCTCACTGGTCTTAATGGAACCTTCCCAACACACAATGCTTTGCCAGAAAGGACCTCTATTTATGCAAAGCAAAGTAGTGTTTTACCCCTTACACATTTTGTTTGCAAAAGACCTGCAGATGGAGAACACACAACACCATCACCTGCTCTAACTTCTGGGCAGGCAAGGAAGCCACAGCAATTTTACACCCCATGCAAGTAAAACCTGAAGACATAACATTTGATTGTTGTTGTAAAAAGGGAAAGCCCTGACACTGCAACAGCTTCACAGGGTCAGAGCCCCAACAGTCACCTGCAGTCCCTGTAGGACAGTGGGCAGGGAGAGAAGATCCAGGCAAAGACCCACAGCCCAGACAGCTCTGACATATAAAACTAACATTTCAGAGACATTTTCTATGTGTTATTCTACAAGCATACCGATATTATAATAAAAATATATTATAAAAGCCGACTTTTCAACCAAGTTCTTGGTTCTGCTTCCAAACAGGGAAATACTTTTGCCAGGTAACACACACACGATCTCGAAAACCCAACAGAAAATACACTGCTGTTATCAAAACTACCACAATTAATTTAAAATTTTAAACTCAAGCTCTACCTTTTTAATTCTACACAATTAAGCAAGAAACCAGGACACTTCTTTGTTTCTTTAAAGCCTCTAATCAAGTCAGAACAAATGTATGTCTTGGCAGAGTTCAAACAGAGAGAGCACTGCTAAGCACTTAGTTTACTAAATATTTTTACTTTGACAGCTACACTTCAATTTCTGCTCAAACATTTTAAAAATTTGATAGTGTTTACCTGTCTATTTCATTCTGTACTTCATCAATGTGTTCAATTGCTTCCTGTTGCTCTTTTTCTGAAAAACAAATGAAAATGTGTCAACATCCCTTCATTCTCAAGCCTGACAAATCACCTGGGGCTTCTCTTTAAGACCTTTTCGAGTGATCTACTGTAAAAGCACCCGGGGATTTCTATTAAGTGTCATAAGTCTCATAAGGCCTCAAAGCTTCAGCCTCACAGAGTGCACTGGCAGCTGATGAAATGCAGGAAAGTTTGACAAAACGGCCCTAAAGTGAGTTCACCCCCAGAAAACCACAGCTCACATCCCCCTCCACAGTTTTACAAGCCAACTTAATTTAAAAGTCAACCGTGACACAGGAGCAGCAATTTAATTAAAGCGTTGTAAGCCGCGTTTACTACGAGCAACACATTCGAGGGAATGTGAAATAATTTAGAGAGGACTGAGATATCAATAGAAACAGCGTGTCTGGGCACACGCCACCTTCCAAAGAGCAAAGAGGACGCTCGGAAGGAGGGTTAGAAACAAAAAAGCCTCGAAAGCGGCAGCTCGCGGGTATTTTTTCTAACGGGCCCTTCCCCTGGCCGCAGGTTCGGCCGGGGCCGGGTTCCGGAGCGCTGTTTCCCCGCCGCGCGGGCGATGAATGAGCGGCCGCGGGAAGCGGCGGGCGCGGAGCAGCGCCCGGGGGGCCGTGCCCGTCCCCGCCGCGGGGGCGCGGGACGCACGTGGGGCGGCAGCGCGGGCAGCGCCGCGGCCCCGGAGCGAGCCCGGCCTCC